ATTTCAACCCCTTGCTTTCCGTGGTATGTCCAACAATTATAGCTTGGCATGAACACCGACTCAAACAAGTGGAAATGAATAGTCCTGGATACAGAATACTCCTTCTGGTTCTTACACTTATTGCATGGACAACAAATAAAACCCTTATGCTTGTTAGCTTCAGACACTCTCAAAAAATAATGCACGCCGTCAATAAACTCTTTGGACCGCCGGTCAGCGTACATCCATTGCCGATCCATCTACATGAAATGAAAAAAAAAATCGTATACATTCGTACAATAATGACAGTCATACAATAATGATAAAATACAACAGTCATACAATAATGACGTATCATTATTCATACAAAAATTATAAAATATTCCACCAAATAATTCTAATTTATTATTTTTGAAGTTTTAAACTAATATTAATGTGTTGTACTTCTTTTAATTTTCAATTTAGTTTGTTTTCTATTATTTAAGATTAACTTTCACTATATTTTCCTTCTCAACTATTTTATAAAACCTTCTTTAGCAAATAAACAAAATTTCTATATATTCTTTCTTCCCCACACAAATTTTCTCTCTCATCAACTTACAACAAAATTTTGGAGACAAAAAAGTATGCAAAATATAGCTCCAAATGTAATATGACAAAAAAACATTGGAGGATGAAGTTGCTAACCTTTTAGGCACCTCCGATTTGTATATAATCACCAAAATAAATTCACAAGAAAATTTGGCATGACCTCCCCTATTTTTTGAAGAAATTTTGAAGGTTGCTCGAGCTGGAGGAGGAAGAAGACATATATAAAGGGGTGGGACTTTAGTCCCGGTTGGTGTTACGAACCAGGGCTAAAGATGGCCGAGATCTTTAGCCCTGGTTGGTAACACCAACCGGGACTAAAGTTACGATCTTTAGTCCTGGTTGGTAACACCAACCGGGACTAAAGATCCTAGGGGGACCTGACAAGCCCTGACAGCATTTGAACCGGGACTAAAGATCAAATATGCCCGTTACCCTTTTTAACCGGGACTAAAGACCATCTTTAGTCCCGGTTTTTATTACAACCGGGACTATTGTGGAATTTGGCCGACCGACGAAAGATGGTTTCTCCACCAGTGATATCATCCCGGATACAAAAGCATAATAATATGGGAGTAGTTTTGAATGTGAATGTAATAACATTTTTCTGTCACAAGAATTATATTCTACTAAAAGAGTTATTGTTGGTCAAATCTAGTCTTGACCATATTTGCCTTATATTTTAAAAAGGGACTAGCTATGTCAACGATTAAATACATTCATGTCTCTGACCTGATCTCGGAATTATTATGAAACAGTGAAGAAATAATTTTAAGTTTAGAAAAGAGAATTAATTTTAGTACTGTCTTAAAACAACATTTCGGGGGTGTCTAGATCTAGGGTGTAAAATTCTAGCGTGTCACATTAGGTATTATATAGGGTGTTGCATAGGGTGTTTTGGCACTAATAAAAAAACTAATTATAGAATCCGTCAGTAAACCGTGAGACGAATTTATTAAGCCTAATTAATTCGTCATTAGTAAATGTTTACTGTAGCACCACATTGTTAAATCATGAAACAATTAGGTTTAAAAGATTCGTCTCGCAAATTAGTCGCAATCGTATGATTAGTTATTTTTTAGCCTATATTTAATTGTACATGTGTTTAAATATTTAATGTGATGTAAAGTTTTAAGATGTTATCTAAAAAGACCCTCCCTCGTTTGATCACGGTGCCGTTATTGGGAGCACAATGAACGAAATTATCATTGCATAATGATGGCAGGTTACTATAGACGGAGTACACAGTTGGAAATAGTCCCATCACTGACATGATCTTTAATTTCAGACAAGGCCGGACAGTTCTGGATGAACGCGCCTTTTCACGCAAAGCTCGATTGCACTCCGTACCAAATTTACAGATGGTTTGCTTCCTTCCAACCAAAGATCAAAACGATCTTTTTAAGTAGTACCAGTAGAACTGTTAGAGAACAACTGATATACTAAATGGCTCTGCATAAGCTATTAGAGAGATAAGGTCAAAGATATTTATTCATATAATATTTCATCTGTTCTTTTTTTATTTTCCGAAATTAAATCACTTTTGCCTCCTCTTATTCGTCCCGGAATAAATTTATCTTTAAACAATCATTAAATTAAAGATTATGAAAGTATGGAACACTTACATTTGAACCGATAACAAGGGGGACAATTGTATTAGGTTTGATAAAGTGAAGGGTTTTATTGGTATGTATGGGATGGGTGAAAAATAAAGTTATTGAGATGGAGGTAGTAGTATTTTGGACAATATCCTACTATCCAATTTATAGCATTTAAAATTTTCTCCATCCCAAAATACAATAGCAACAATTTGTAGCATTTAAAATTCATCCTAAAATATACTTCACCAACTATATTCTTTTCTCAACGATCACAATCTTCTCCCATTAATTTCTTCACTTACCTCCTCTCTTCTCAACCAATTATAACATTTTTTTTCATTTAATTCGACTTACTTTCTTAATACCCAAATGAAACCTTAAAAGTTATTATATTTTGGACCTAAGGTAGTATTATCTTTGAAAAATATGTTTATAAAAAATATTTAAGCTAATTGCTTTATGGAAGTATTTTAATTTTATGAAACTAAAATTAAATTCTAAAACTTATTTTTAGAGTTAATTTTGTGGATTTTTTATTGTAGTTTATTTTAGAATATATTTTTTTTCAAATTGCTAAGGACACGCAAATAAAAGTTTTGCCTGTAAATTATTTTTTAGCTAATAATTAAGCAGTACATATAAGTATAAACATAAGCAAAAGGGCTTAATTCAAGCATCGAGAAGAACATGACATAGCTAGCTAGCTAGATGGAGATAGCAACCTTTTGGTCGACCATGGCTGCACTCAGACTATGGATAAAATTTCCTATAAAACGAATGAGCCATAGAAGAAGAACAATAATACAGAGAAAGGGTGGGTAGTAGTAGGTGCAAGCTTTAATGGAGAAGGCCGGCCCACACCAAACGAAGCAACCACTTTTGTTAACAGGGTATCTATAGTTTGGGATCCAAACAACGTGCCTGCTCCACCATGTATGCATGCATATGCAGCTTTCAAAGGCTGTGTTTAGTTCCTTCTAAAGTTGGAAGTTTGGGTTAAAATTGATATGATGTGATTGAAAAGTTGTGTGTATGATAGGTTGATGTGATGGAAAAAGTTAGAAGTCTAAACACAGCCAAAGTTGAAATGCAAAATGAAAACTTTCTCTAGCTATATTTCCATCCATGAGGTGAAAAGTACTTGGGAAAAAGAGGCAACAACACCTGACTCAAAGGTCATTTATTTATGTCCCTGTTGATGTGATAGCTAGGGGGATCTGATAGGTTTTGGGAGGAAGAGCCAAAAAGGCTCAAATTCCATGCAAGCAAATGCACAGCAAACTAGAAAGCCGTCCTCTATGGCTCCTTCAAATTCCCTATCCATGCTGACCTGACTTGTGTACAGTCTACGTACAGTGTGCTCCATAGTAGGATCATTCATGTAGGAGTATATACTCATGGGCAATAATTTTCATAAAAAAAATAAAATTCAAACACACATGGGTACACCAATTGATAATTAAGAGGATGTCAATATTAGAACACGCTAGGTCTGCCACCACTTTCTCAGGTTGATAATACTTATCATTTTGGATATGGTTGATGTTAAACTTTAAAATTTGACTATGAATAATTTCTACAATATCTGCCTTAGAAAATACTGAAATAGTAAGTATGGATTAGTTTCAAAAGGTACTTCAAAAACATATATTTGTTGATATTTCTATTATTATAATATAAAATAGTGGTTAAAGTTATTTTTTGGAGACCGTATCCTTATCCAAAACGACAAGTATTATTAATCTGAAAGGAGTATTATGTGACAAAATAGTCCAATGGTAGACACAAATTTTCTTCAGTTCGAACAAAACTTACTGAGGGTGAGTTTGAGGGATAGGAGATCAAGGAGATTGGGAAGATACGCAAAACGAGGTAAGCCATTAGCGCATGATTAATTGAGTATAAACTATTTTAAATTTCAAAAATAAATTAATATGATTTTTTAAAACTACTTTACTATAGAATTTTTTTTTAAAAAAGCACCGTTTTGTAGTTTATAACACTCAATGTATCTAGAACGAACGCAGCCTGTAGTACGTACAGGCATAGTCGTTGGCATTGTGAAATTTTCTCCTAGCCCAAACCACATGCCACTAAAGGCACATGAACCTATGTCCACTATTGGAATAGTCCACGCAAGGATTATCACCTTTCAATTCAAAAACTTGAGCAAGAGTATATATATGCATGTATTGTGCACATATAGAACCTATATTGGCATACAATTTTCCATATTAGTCAACTTTTGATCTAATTTATGATTATTTTTAGAACACATAATGAACTTTCATATAGACCACATAGATTTTGTTCTCTCTTCCAAAAACATGTGGGTCCATACAGTTAGGAGGAATGTCATATTAAATTGACATGTGGGTGCTAGGTCCTCACCAATCTTCCTCTTTGGAGAGAGCCAGGTCGATGGCGAGACATTCCCATATTTGTACAAAATCCAGGGTGTGTTTAGTTCACGCTAAAATTGGAATATTGGTTGAAATTGGAACGATGTGACGGAAAAGTTGGAAGTTTATGTGTAGGAAAGTTTTAATGTGATGGAAAATTAGAAGTTTGAAGAAAAAGTTTGGAACTAAACACGGTGCCATTAAACTTTCATAGCGGAATAAACAATGAAAATTCATACTCCCTCCGTTTCGAAATGTTTGACACCGTTGACTTTTTAGCACATGTTTGACCGTTCGTTTTATTCAAAAAATTTTGTGAAATATGTAAAATTATATGCCTACATAAAAATATATTTAACAATGAATCAAATGATAGGAAAAGAATTAAGAATTACTTAAATTTTTTAAATAAGACGAACGGTTAAACATATTTAAAAAAGTCAATGGCGTCAAACATTTCGAAACGGAGGGAGGGAGTACTATGTTACATCGATGCAGATATATAAATGAAAATTTCGTCCGACAACCACGAGACATCAGATGCATGCAAGCTGCATGAAATTAACAGTTAACAGTAGCTCACTACAGCCAATTAACCTCATGAAAACCGTACACACACTACAGCGCTAGCCATGCACCGGCGAGATGGCCGGAGTACAATGGCTACCACAACGCCGGCGAGCTCGCTAGCTGGCTAGCCGCCGCGGAGAACGACCCAGATGTCGGAGAATGCCTGGAGGATGACGGGGTGGAGGCGCGGCGGGTTGAGGGACAGGTACGACCGGAGCAGCCGCTCCAGCTCCGCCGCCGCGAACACCTGCCGCTCCACGATCATCTCCGCCATGGACTCCCGGAAGTCGCCGTACGGGTCGCTCGACCGCTTCACCACCGCGAGGCCCTTCCTCACCTCCTCCTCCGCCGTCGTCGACACCAGCGGCCGGAACGCGGCGGCGTCCCTCACGCTGCACGCGTCGTCCACGCAGCCCGACGCTCGCCGGCGCCGGCGCCGCGTCGTCGTCGGCTTCTGCTGCCGGTGGCGACGGTGGTGGCGGTGGCGGTTCGCCTTGCTCTTGTGGGGAAGAAGCTGCTGCTTGGAGGAGCACGCGTAGAAGCCGGAGGAGTCGGAGGAGACGAGGCTTCTAGAGGAGAAGAAGGCCTCCGTGCCGTCGTTGTCGTCGTCGTCGTCGTCGCCGTCGGCGCCCTCGCCGTCGTCGTCGGAGGTGGTGAAGCCGTAGGGGTTGGACGACAGCTTCGGCTTGAAATGGCCGCGGCGGCGGGAGCTATTCCGCCGGTTTATATCCTTCTTCTCCTCCTCCGGAGGAGGAGGATGAGGAGGGTGGCGGAGGAGGTCAAGCGCGGCGGAGAAGGGCTCGACGCGGGGGAGGAAAGCGGCGGTGGTGGCTGTCGAGGACGCCGTCGTCGTCGTCGTCGTTGTCGACACATTGGTGGCGGCGGTGAAGGTGGTGGAGGTGGAGGAGGAGGAGCTGCACGGCGAGCGGAGGAGGAGCAGCCGGGCGAGGCGGTCCTTGAGCCGCTTCGTCCGGCCGCCACCGCCGCCGCCGCTCTTGGCTCCGTCGTCCATTGGCCGTTGCTTGCTGCTAGTTCGAGCTTGCATTGGCGTGGTGGCGATATCTGTAGGTGAGTAGAGTGGAGGAGGTGAGTGAAAAGAGAGAAGGGGACAAAGAAAGGTGATGAGATCCACAAGGGAGCAACAAGGCTACCTACTTGTACTGCTATTTATAGCCACAGAGGAAGTGAGATGCCACTCTCCAGAATGTTTTTGAATATAAATTGTTGACTTCAAACTAGCTAGGGTTCCCTCCTAGTAGAATATAGGGTTAATTTAATTCATGCCATTGCAAATGTGGCTATTCAGAAAAATGCTATTACAATTCGTCTATTCGTAACCGTACCACTCTAATTTTATGAAATTAGAACCATACCACTACCATCACATTTTTCATCCATCCTCTTCCTTTCCGTCTTCTTCATGCAATTAACCCTAGAATATATGATCATAACATGTCCGGGCTGGCCCAAGCCCAATTCCCAAATCTAGGCTTGATGTACCTTTGTGATCCTTCATTTCCCCCTTGTCAGCAATGTGATTCTAGGAAAATACGTACCATATAAATCGTGTATTTAGTGAAAGCCTGGAAACTTCAGTATAATGCAAAAGTGAACGTATGAAATTTGTATCCACATCACCATGAGATTTTCCCACGCCTCTCATCGTGCGATAATATATGTTTGTAGACAGTCCTTATACCATAGGGGGCCGGGCATGTTCTAGGTGGGCACTCTCATAACCCGCTTGGGATTTAGAGGGGGTCATCTACGAAAATTTTTAAGTACTTTATATTGGTTTTCGAATCAATGTTTTTTTTACTTGTTTACTCCATGAGTTATTTTATATATTTGACCTACTGTTTTCACATTTATTGTAAACATTTTTTCTAACAAAGTTCACTACAAGACATTGTAAAAAAATATATCACGGTTGAAGGACATTATAATTTACTTGTGGACATTGTAAAAAATATATCACGGTTGAAGGACATTAAAATAGTAGTAATTTGCTGCAGGATATTTCTGGCCTAAAAGAAGAACGTAATTCTTAAAAATTATGAGAATGCCTTCGCGGCCACAAGCCTCTAGGCGCTACAGTAAAAAATAAAATACGAGATAGGCTAGCAATGTATTTGGGCTGATGGGAGATTGGAACTTGCACAATTTTTAAATTTTTACTCCAACGTCACGTATATGCTTGTGGTCCTATGTGTGTTCTCATCTTTTTAACAAGGTTTATATTTAATTAGGTAAAAAATATCCTTATTTGAAGTGTACTTCAGGCATGACATGCCTTCACTAATACAAAACATTAAATAGGTGTCGTCACTAGAGGTGCCGGTAGTGCTAAAACCAGCACCTATAGGCTTTTTCCCACCTTCGCGGATTAAAATCGCAAAAAAAGGCATCTTTAAGTAATTATAGGTGTCGGTTCTAAATAATAAACCGACACCTATTGTATTTTGCGTTGTTTTTTATTTTAAAAAAATGAAACCTTTAATATATTATAGGTGTCGGTTTTAAGCGGTTAACTTAAAACCGACACCTATAATATATTATAAGTGCCATTTTTTTTTAAAAAAAACTGACACCTATACAAATCGAGCCGAGCCGACCCGACCGACGGGCCCCACCACCACCACCCGACCGGAGGAGATAAGGCCGTCTCGCAGTCTCGCTCTCATCGTCTCTTCTCTCTCGTCTCGCTCTCTCTTCTCTCTCGTCTCACGTCTCGCTCTCTTCTCTCTCTCTCCCCCTTCTTCTCTCCCGCGCACTACCGCAGAGGCGGAGGTGGAGGCGGTGACCGCACCCTTGGCAGGAGGGGAGGCGGCGGTGGCGGCAGGAGCTGAAGGGAGCCCACGGCAGCTCGGCGGTTAGAGGGGAGCCCGTGGTGACCGCTGGGCGGCGGCGGGAGGGGCGGCAGCGGCAGCGACCTGTGGCGGAGCCATCCCCTCCGCCAGATCCGGCAGGAGAGGGAGGCAGCGGTGGCGGTGGAGCCCTCCCCTCCACCAGATCCAGCGGGGGGGGGGGGGGGGTAGGCAACGGCAACGACAGCAGCGGGCTCCCCACAATGACGGTGAGCATTTGATTGTTTGATTCAATGATTCCAGTGATGTTTGATTGTTTGATTCGATGATTCAGTGATTATTTCATTCAATGATTCAGTGATGTAAACTTGTTGATGAATATTTGATTGTGTGATGCATGAATGTTGCGCCCTCCCCCCCCCCTAAAAAAAATAAAAAATTGTGATTGTGTGATGTGTTCGTTCTATTCTTGCGGATGTGGAAGGAGGGACTGCTCGGCTCAATGCTTCGGCTCGATCGAGCCGACGCATCGACCTGGCTTTTTTTTATTCGTCGAACCTAAAAGGTGCTGGTTCTAAGGAACCGACACCCTTTTGATTTGCAAATGAGTGCCGCCTCTCTTGTGCTGGTTGGAAAAACCGGCACCGAAGGGGGTTTTTCAACCCGCACCAAATCCCTTCTCTGTAGTAGTGTTTTTTAATATCTATCAAACTTTAAATGCCATGTAATAAAATTTACGTTTCCCTTAACAGACAAACATAGTGAACTAACAACACGTATACAAGGATTAATTTAGTACTAGTTTTGTTGTCCTTATTCACGTAGTATAACAAAAATTGTATGGTAAATGCTATTGGCAGTTTGCAGGATGTACCTCGGACAATCATCCAAATAGACTAAATAAATGCCACATTAAATGTATTCAATACTGAAGCTGAAAAATAGGGCCACTTTAAATGATAGTAAGGCTAGAGAGCTGTACAACTGGACAAATTAATTCACAGATAAGCATTCTTCGGGGACGTACACGTACAATATATAAGAGCAGGTACAATAGCACGCTATAAGTCGGCTGTAAATATATTTTAAAAAGATGAAAATAAGAGAAGAGCAGCGGGCTACAGATTTATAGTCAGCTGCAGCATGGACTCCAAGACGTAATAAGTGTATGGCAAGTGGGACCAGGTATTAATAGTATAGTAAATAACTATTGTATGAATTGGCTGGTAGATTGACTATAGATGAATTGAAGTTAGTAGTGGGCTATACTATTAAACTTGCTCTAAGAGTAAGGATAATAGTGAGCTATAAGCAAGCTATATAAAAGTAGGGAGTGTTGGCTCTTATGCAAGAGTTACCTCAACACAAGCTGTAAGAAATATGCATTAAATTTATAGTGAGAGAGTGAGGATGACAAAAATAAAACTAGCCTTGTAGCTAACCTATTATATATATGTTAACTCTAATATTAACTTATAGTATGTAGTAAGCTCTACCATTAAACTTGCTCTAATACTACCTCCAAAATAAGCGCAGCCATAAGTTTTCATATCCAACTTTGATCGTCCATCTTATTTAATTTTTTTTATGATTACTATTTTTTTATTAGATTGTAAAACATGAATAATACTTTATGCGTTACTT